TGGCTTCAGTGGAGCACTGGTTATTTGGACTACTTACGCATTCAATCGGTCCGCTATTGTCTGCCAGGCGTTTTCTCTTTGTTTTATTATAGCAGCTGTATTTCCCTTTTTACATATTATATGTTTCACCTCTTCATATGTTTCCATTAGAAGCTGTTGCTCAGTTGACGAGAAGTATGCCGCACGGGTTTTATCCATTTTTGCATCATTGATTCTGTGATTGATCCCGTGGTCTGTTTAAGAATGCCGTGAACGTGCACTTATCCCAACTATATACACCTGGCTTGACATAGCTGCACGTTCTCATCCTGGCTCAGCAAACGTGCAACGGACTAAGCCAGGATGCGCTGATTAAACTAGGTCAAGCCGCGCCTTTTCTGTTATCCTGGCTTTCTTAATTCTACTTTTGAGCAATGCCCCTCTGGGGGCTCTTTCATAAAAGACGCTAAGAAAAGCAGGGATTAAAGTCCAAAGCCTGACTTGAAATAACCTAACAAATCAATCGGGACTAAAGCGGTTTCATAAACGACCATTTAAGTTCTCACTAATTCGATCCAGGTTCAATGAGTCAGGATAATTTGATGTGCTTAAGCAGCCCTTAATGTCGATAATGGCTCAAATCGATCCACAATGGCAAACAGCGAATATTTGTGCTGTTTAATGCATTTGAGATATTGTGTTTTCCTCAGTGCATAACTGACACGTCGCAGGTATATTTTTCATCTGTAAATGTTAGAAAGTCATGTAAATATATCCATTTTGCTGTAAGGAGTGGGCGAGGTTTACGTGAGTGAATGAGCGCCGCTGCGCGCATGCGCGCTAAACAGATGGAAGGCAATAGAATAATAGCGCAATAATTCTGAATAAAATATGCATTCTGCTAAAATATTTGTTGTTGGACATTAAATGTGACACATGTAGAATGTTAACATGACATGTTAATCCTACATATAAGTTTTTTATCATAGCAGTAACTGTAAATCCAATGTAAACTGGCTAATACAGCCCTACTATCTCAAATGAGTTAAATGTGTGTTCCTCTTATCAGTTAAAATGTAGTCTGATTTCTATTATTTATTTTGATTTTTAATTTAGTGTTTTTAATGCTTTTAAATAGCAATTTTAGATTGTAATGTTTTAATGTTCTACTAATAACCATAAAAGTCATAAAACCAACCAGAGAGAAAGGCTGCATGGCTAGAAACTGCTGATCAACTGAATGTGCAAGTAGCATATATTTTCATATATCTTTAAAAAAAAAAGGTCATTACATTTTGGGCACAATACATTAAAAACAGTTGGTTGTAGCCTATTTTTTATTTATTTGATTATTTAAGTTGCATTTTCTGTATACTTTTATTTTTGGACTAATAATAAAGTAAACTAATTGTATGTGAGAGAGTCAGTGGTAATATCAATGCATTCCTATTGGTCAGTGTTAGAGGAGCTCAGCTTAGCCGGACAGTTAGCCTGCTCCTGACCAGGTTAGTTTCCCAGCACAAGTTGCCACAGTGACTGAGCTTGAGCTATGGAAATTTTGCTTTCGGAAACCAAATCAAGTGACAATAAGTCAGACTAACTGAAATAAGCCTGGCTTATTTGGTAAACTTGTGTTATGAAACAGCCCACTGGTCACTTCGTCCATACATTGTTTGTTTAGCTCACGGACAGCATTTAAAAAACAACATGACAACCTGTAGTGGGAAAACCTTCAGATAAAAGTTGATAGGCTATATTTCACGTATTTTCAATATCAATATCAAAGGGGACTTACAAGTTTAAAAACTTGGTAAGTGTTTATGTCACGAATCTGGTCTATAAACTTCCGTTCACTCACCACCAGAGGTCACCCGCTCTCCACATGGACTCTCACACTACACAGACTGTTACACATCACCTTGGACTACATTTCCCATGCTCAGTTGCACTAATCACAATCTCACCTGAAACCAATCACACACACTATATATAAATCTGTCTCACACCACCATTCAACGCCGAGTATTGTTTAGAGTGTATCACTGCTATAGCTACTTTACGGAGCCTGCTTTAAGTTTCCTAGTCTCAGCTTAGTCTTGCCTTGTCTGTATTTTCTTGGGTTCTGATCATTGCCTGTGTACTTTGGATTACCTCTCTCGTCTTGCCCTGTTCGGATACTGTTTGCCCCTGCCTGGACCTTTGCCTTGTACCTGGATTATCCCTCTAGTCTCGCCCTGTTGGATTACGTTCGCTGCCGACTGACCCTCGCTTGTTTACCTGATTGCTCTTGCCTTGTCTTCTACATACCAGTTTGCCATTGTCTGACCCATGCCTGTTTCTGACCATGTCTCCTAAATAAAGCTTTCAAATGGATCCACACGTCTCACGTCTCGTTCGTCCCGTAACCGATAGCTTATTACGTTTGTTGAAATTTTATGAATTAGATTTTTACATCTTTCATAATCTGTCTGTAAGTGTTTGTATCATCCAGGACGTCGTCCCTTTGGGGGGTATAAATTACCTGAAATTAGGGATGCACCGAATTTTCGGCAGCCGAAAATTATCGGCCGAAAATGGGATTTTTGGTTTTCGGCCGAAAATATAGGCTACATATAATTATATATGGTGCGCCCCGCCCGGCAGGGTTCAGCGCGCAGGTTTCACTCTCCTCATCACTGCGCAGTTTGACACTCCGCTTAATATTCCGATCTATGAATGTGCGTTCAGCTCGTGTACCGCACATGCTCACCGGAAAAGCAAAACCCGCTCAAATAACGCGTTGACAGGAAATTTCTATGCAGTATACTTGTTCCTGTTTGCAGTAGCGCTACTGTGCTGTAACATGCTGTAGGCTAGTTCAGCTGCACTGGGCAACGCTGGTAAAATAATGCTTCCTTCAGTGACGCTATGCTCTGCTCATGCTCTGATAATAATAGCTTTGTAGGACTATACATTATTTGGATAATTAGTCAAAAAAGCTGGTAAAATGATGCTACCTTCAGTGATGCTATGCTCTGCTATGCTATGCTCTACTCATATGCTCTGATAATAATAGCTTTGTAGGTACATACATTATTTGGATAATTAGTCAAAAAAAACAACTTATATCTGATTCTGTTACATAGAAGTGAATAAAAATAATATATTGATATTTAATATTAAGGTAACACTTTACAATAAGGTTCCATTAGTTAATGTTAGTTAATTAACTATCATGAACGAACAATGAACAATACATTACAGTATTTATTAATCTGTCTTAATGTTTGTTAATGAGAATACAGTTGTTCACTGTTAGTTCATGTTAATTCAGAGTGCATTTGCCATTAACTGTTAACAAGCACAACTGTTGATTATAATAATGCATTAGTAAATGTTAATTTAACATGAACTAGTAAGATTAATAAATGCTGAAGAACTATGGTTCATTCTTAGTTCGTTGACTAAAGTAGTTAACTAATGTTAACTAATGAACCTTATTGTAAAGTGTTACCAATATTAATATAAATTCTGTCCAGTTTTATTGTAATACTTTCAGTAAAAGTGTGGTTATTTTATTGGCTTGTGTTTTTTTTTAAATCAGTATCATTAAAATTGAGTTAAATTTAAAAAGACTTACAAAATTACTTTATATTATTTAATAAAATAAAAAATAATCATTACAAAGCAGTTTCGTTTTCGGCCAAGTGCATCCAGAATTTTCATTTTCGGCCCAGAATTTTCATTTCGGTGCATCTCTACCTGAAATAAGAATGCTTGTTTGGCAATGTGTGTAACAACATTTTAGCCAGAAAAAAAAAAATATATATATTATTTTATAACTAAAAATTCTTTTGAACAATAAGTATAATGCCAATTTATGAATATATTAGCACACTGTATATTTATTATGCAAATTTCTTGGGCCTATAAATTATCAATATGAACAAAACTGATCAAAAACCTGTTGTACACAATTTACTTAATGCCTTCTGTCCTCTGATTGATAGTTTATACTTTTTTATCAAGTAAATTAAACATTTTAGCCAGAAAAAAAAATATATATATATTATTTTATAACTAAAAATTCTTTTGAACAATAAGTTTAATGCCAATTTATGAATATATTAGCACACTGTATATTATGCAAATTTCTTGGGCCTATAAATTATCAATATGACCAAAACTGATCAAAAACCTGTTGTACACAATTTACTTAATGCCTTCTGTCCTCTGATTGATAGTTTATACTTTTTTATCAAGTAAATTATTTTTTGCTCATAAATCTTTAATGATTTTTATAAAGTTAATGTAAGATTAACATTTACTGGACTGAAGCAACTTGGGTTTACTTGATCATTCATACATAATTTTTTAATGTTAATTTTTTAATGTTAAATTACATTAGTTTTTTTTACATTTATTCATATTAATGTAAATGTCAAATATGTCCATCTCTCAATTCTAATAGATTTGCAATGAATTGCACATATGAGCCATAAAAGCCTGATGTGTGTGTACATAGTTTTGTTTATTAAATATAATTTAAATAATTTATATACTAAATATATTTATAATATACTAAATTATATTTAATTTGCATATTAAATATAATTTAGTATACAGGCTATTTTCAGGCCTTTATTAACGGCCTGAAGTCCGATTCACTGTCTGAATCAGTCTCATTGGGTGATTTGTCTCCCTCCAAGTGCAGCTCTCTGACAGTAAGGATACGTGTGAGCATGCTGTCCAGAACCTCATCACTCAGAGAGGAGGTTGAGAACCACATGGGACTGTTGGGTACACAGGAGCGCTCGGGGCTCAGGTAAAAGTCGGTTGTGCGTTGCCTCACGCTGGGTGAGCTGGACGGAAAGTAAGACAGTATTTAATAGGGCTGCATAATTATGACAAACTTGATATAATAGAAGAATACATTTATTCAGCAAGAATGCATTAAAATTGATGAATAGTGACAGTATTAATAAAGTTCAAATTTTAGTTTCAAATAAATGCCGTTCAATGGAAGTTCAAACAAACGTACCATTTTGAGAGATAGAACTCATACAGCCTGACAGGACAACGAAGAGGATTGTCTGCATTCTCTTTTATCTCATATACAGTGTCACTGACATCCTCCTCTTCCTTCCTTTTCTTCGTAGGGACGCCAACTGAATTAAAACAAACAAGTGATACAACAAGAACTCAAACACACAGTCAAGCTAGGACTGTATAACTGACCACTGACCTGTGCTTGTGTCCTCTTTGGGGGGATAGAAACGCAAACAGGCCACTTTTGTGTTGCCCTTGCTCCGAGAGCAGCGCACAATGTGGCCAAAAGAGAGGCGGCGGTGCTGCTCCACTGTCCTGTAGTTGAAGTACTTGGTGAAGAAGTAGAGCAGCGTGTTGAGCAGCACACCGGGTGAAAACGCCCCCAGCTGCTTACAGTCCCACAGATACTCCTCCTCCACACGAGAATGAACATAACCTGAACACACACACACACACATTCATGTTAGAAGACCAACAGCGAAACAAGCTAGTCACACGTTCCTGTCTTAAATTACTCACCACTGGGCAAAATAGTTGGTTTCCACTGTCTGAGTATGTTGGTCAGTTCATGGCAGAATTTTGTGTAGAAGACGTCAGCGAAGATGTTCTCCATCCGATTGTTCTCAAACAGGTACTGCAAACATGAACGACAAGAGCTAAATCAATTCAACTATTATAATATGGCTGTGTTCAGTTTGTGTTGTTTCTTCTCAATTTACCTTCTGGATTCCCAAGCAGAGATAAAAGATGCTGTCAGGGCTGTATTTCTCTCCGTTGGGTCGACGAACCTCAGAAATGAACTTGCAGAGGCCGTAGCTTATTTCAGCAGTGCAACATTTCAACAAATCCTCCTTTAGTGTCATACTGCGAGCTATTGATGAAGAGGAAGTGTTTAGTGCTTAAATGGCATGTTGAAGATTCTGTAGTTTAACTAGTACAGCATGATGCAAGCATAAGGCTAAGGCTCAATTCCCTGTGAATGCATATACTCAAAAAATCTTCACCTTGAAAAACACATTAAAGGAATAGTTTACCCCAAACTGAAAATTTGCTGAAAATGTACTCAACCTTGGCCATTCAAGATGTAGATGAGTGTTTCTTCATCAGAACAGATTTGGAAAAATTTAGCATTGCTTCAACTTGCTCATACATGGATCCTCTATAGTGAGAATGAGAGCCCAAACAGCTGATATAAACATCACAATAATCCACAAGCAATTTGTTTGTAATAAACAAAAGGATTAAACCATCATTAATTCATAACATTGCTTTGTCTAGTGAAAAAAGTCTTGTCTGATTCAAAAGAGAAATATATGCACAGACCACATATATGCACCATTTACAAGTGAAAATGGTCTGAAATATTTTTGTGAAGAAAAACAGAGGAAGGACTTTTTCAGTGGAGGAACCATTATTATGGATCATGGACTTGTATTTTGGCCAGAAGTGATGGTTTAAAATATCTTATTGATGGATTTGTTTCTCACAATCATGCAGCTTTTCACTTCACAATACATTAATTGATGGACAGGAGTCATGTGGATTACTTGTGGATTATTGTGATGTTTTTATCAGCGGTTTGTACTCTCATTCTGACGGCACCCATTCACTGCAGAGCATCCATTGGTGAGAAAGTGTAATAGTGCATTTTTCCAAATCGGTTTCAATGAGATAAAGTTAATTTTATAATTGTATGTATAATTGTGGAACTTTCTTTTGTGACGAAATGCTGGATAAAAAGACTTACAGCCAAATTTGGGAGTCTCCATGTTGGGTTGGGCGTTCCTCCAGCGTACCCATTCCTTCCAAGCATTTACAGCATACTCGTGTTGCAGTTTTGAGAGGCTAGAGAGGTTGTCTAGCGCTGATTTGACTGGAACAACAGCTGCACTCTTACGGCCCTACACACCAACAAAAAAAACAATCCACAAAAATATAAAGCAGCACAACTGTTTTCAACATGATGATAATAATGCTGCTTATTGAACAACAAATCAGCATATTACAATAACTTCTGATGGAACATGTCAAACTTGAGTCAAGAGTAATGGCTGCTAAATGCTTTGCCATCACAGGATGAAACTACATTAAGAATATATTCAAACCCAAAATAGTTACTATATTTTTGATCAAACAAAGCCTTGGTGGATGAGACTTTCCAAAAATATCTTACTTTTGAACAGTAGTGTACATTTAATCTGTATAATGTTGAAAATGTTAGTATATTCCTGCACTTATAAATATAACCTTTTCATGCACAACATATTGAAGAATCAAGTACAAATCATCAGAACAACATTAAAGATGGAAGCCACAGCTTATAAACCTCAATAAAGTGGTCTGGTTTACTTTGCACATGCTACCATTATGACAAGATGAAAATGGGTTTTAAAGCAATCACATGACAGTACTGACTGATAAAACTGGATTCAGCTTTATTTTGTTTTAGGCTGATTTATCACAGTCACATTCAATTTTAAATTAAAATATAATACACTATATGTTTGAGGTTATGTATCACAATATTAACAGTTTGAATAATTGAGTCTCTAAGGGTTTCTAATGAAAGACAAAATCAGGTTTTCGAACTAAGTACTTAATCTATTAAATCAAAATATTTAGATGTTAGAAGCTTGTGGCCAACATTGTTTCTTGGTGAGCGCAAGAACTCATTGACTCTGTCTTTGATGCGTTTTCGATCACTGTTGGTTATGCAGGGGAACCTCTGGGAAACAGTCTTAATGATAAAGTGGGGTAGGTTCACAGGCAATGCAAATTTGCCCCTCGCACCATCCCAGTTGATATTGGACGCCTACTCCTTTATACTTCTTCTGCGGTAAAACAGCACGGAACAAGCAACCAACCATAGCGATCCGGCCGCCTCCGACTCTGCGTGAACAGAAGCTCCAGCCGCTTCTTCGAGGGAGGAAGAATCTCCAGATCAGGATGGCAACATGGCTCTATTTGCTGACTGTCTGCATCGCTACTCTGGGCAACAGCATCCTCGCTCTTAAGAGTCCACCACTGGGCTTTGTGCAGAGTCAAGTTTGCTCCCCAACATCTGTGTTGCCACCTGTGCCTCTCCCAGCTGCAACACAACAGCCTTGTGGGCCTCGACAAGCCCCTAGTGAGTGCCTTTCAAATCTGCTAGAGCAGCCTTGGTAACGTCATAAACTTCCTTGCAGTGACGCAGCTCCCGCTTTAGCCCTTCAATCATGGCGTCCCTTTTCGCCAGCTCAGGATTGAAGTCCTCCACCACATTCTGTCACTGTTGTCCGGAGCTTGAAACTTGAAGACTTGACAACTCCACAGATACGAATGCGCATGTGGGCGAAATAGCCTTGGTGGAGCAGGAAAAATAGGGCTGTCAATCGCGATTAATACAATTTTTTTTTTTTGTCGTGTTGAACGCAATAAGGTAATCAGCTCCTTTTTAAGGAATGACAAAATTATGTGTTAGAACTATGTAAATCTGCGACAAGTAATGCACCCCTTTATGGACTTAACGTAAATTTAAAGTTAAAGCCACAAGTTAACTGCATTAAAAAACAAAATTAATGGCTATAAACATTTAATAGCTCTTTTATTGCAACTGCGTGAACAAACACCAACAAAAATGCAAAGCTTGCAAAGATTTTTAGTATGAAGAGGCCCTAATTATTCCAAAATTAGTAGTATTTACTAATTTATAGCGACGTAATGGTACACAAAAATGACAGTTCAGTACGTACCTCAGTCTTGATGTCATTATGTTTCCATCACCCTATTTTAATGCGCATTTTGAAGTATCGCATGAGAAACGAGTGATGGAAATGTCAAATTTCTAATCAAAATCCCTTAATTCGCAAAAATGTTTTTACGCTCGCTTGAGGTGGTTTTTGACTTGTGCGAAAAAGGGTTGATGTGAATAATGGGAGATGGAAATGCATTTTGCAAATAAATTCCTCCAAGCGCATCAAAAAAGTCATGTGACTTTGCGCTATGGGATGGCAAAACCTGACTAACCAGTGGACC